ATTGATACCTTCTTTGCATATTGTCAAATCTGCAGTGAAAGTGTTCTTGAAACGAACAACGTGCTGGATTGTCATCTGAGACTGCTATAACATGAAAACATGGCAGAATCAGAGGCATACAATTCTCCCCCAAGGAGTTCAGTCACAAATTTAATTAACGCATTATTTTTTTAACGAGCATCATCAACATGGAAGCATGTCCTCTGGAATGGTGACCAAAGCATGAAGGGGCAAACAAATATTTAGCATATCTGGCACGTAAATACCTTGCAATGCCAGCTACAAAAGTGCTATGTGAACCTCGTTATCTCTAGACAGATTCTTGCCTGCATATTTATACCTGCCTCTGGAAATTTCCACCACATGCGTCTGACGAAGTGGGTATTCACCCACGAAAGCTTATGCTCCAATACTTCTGTTAGTCTATAAGGTGCCATAGGACTCTTTGTCGCTTTTTACAGATCCAGACTAACACGGCTACCCCCGATACAAAAATATTTAGTAAATTTCAATTGGTATTCTATTGTTTAGCAGTGCGATTAAAACTGCGATTAATTTTTTTAATTGCGATTAATTTTTTTTGAGTTAATTGCATGAGTTAATTGTGATTAATAGACAGCCCTAATAGGTACTATGTTTGCCCTTCTCCAGTCCTCTGAGACCTCACCCATCCCCCATGTGTTCTCAATGATAATAAGTAATGCTTCCAAGATTGCTTTAGCTCAGTGGTTTTCAACCTGGGGTCCACACACAGACTGTGTCTATGGAGTCTGTGAAAGGTTGTCATTACCAAAGAACAATAGTTTTCAACCAGTGGTTCAGAGACTCTGAAATTTTTTAGGGGCCGCAAATGAAAAAGGATTGAAAACCATTGCTTTAGCAAGTTCCTTAAGTACCCTAAGATGAATTTCTTCGGGCCCTGCCAACTTGAATACATCTAACATATCTAAATATTTGCTAACCTATTCTTCCCCTCTTTTGGATAATAATCTCTCATTTGGCCTCTAGCCTATGGGAGGGTCAGGCCTAAGGTCATTCGCTTAAAAAAAAGTAGAGCTTGATGGAAAAAAGTTTGAGAACCACTGCAAAGAGCTCTCTCTTTTGAATGTGGGCCACAATGCAAATGAGTTCACCCTTCAATCTGGGTTGATAATCTCATCACTGCTACGGCCAAGATCCAAATTCCTAATTTTTTATCACATCTGTCTCACTGGCTATTCATATTATGGCCATACAGAAATGCTGACTGTATCACTGTCAGCATAATTAAAAGACAGAATTGGTTTTAGTTTGACTGTTAGAATATAGGAAAATTTATAAACATAATAATCCCGGGAAAATAGATTAATAGACTTTAAAGTCAGAAGGGACCAGAATGATCATCTAATCTGACATCCTGCACATTACAGGCCACAGAACCTTGTTAAAAAACCTTGTTAGAGGATTTGGGTCTTGAGATTTTGGCTGTAGTCAATTTTGTATGTGTTTTTAGCCAACAACATTAGGAGATTACAGTTGCAGCCATAAAGTTAACAACAATTTACACACAGCAAAATCAAGTTGAACTTAAAGTTACATCTTACAAATATTTAATGAAATTATAAAATTGTATTATGTGTGCTATCAAAATACAGCAGTTACCTTTCTAAATAGGAAAAATTGTATTAATCACTTTTATATTTATCACTACCTAGCTATTATACACCTTTGTTCAATCATTATTAACTTTAATTGGAAAATTATGAAGATAGATTTGCATATTGAAATTAAGTGTAATGAGAATTAATCATGCATTCATTGTGGAAAGCAATAACATGATGTTCAATGCCAAATCATGGAATCTCTCAGTTCAGAAACTGACTTGCTACTTGAACATCAACATGCATTTATAATGTGATGCAGGCCGCACTGAGAGAGTGTAAGAAATTGCAAAGAAAACTGTTCAGTTTTCCTTATGAAAGTGTGCCCTGCCAATGCACTCTGATTTGTTTATGGAAATATAAGTTGTTTGCATACGTATTGGCAATAATAGCACCATTTGTTTAAGGTTTGCATATGACTATATTGGAGATAATGCCATATATAGACAAGCTCTCACTGAAAGATTCACTATCCCTGATTAACTTTGACTACGTCTACACTGCAGAGCCTTGGGGTACGTCTTCACTACCCGCCATATCGGCGGGTAGCAATCGATTTATCCAGGATCGATATATCGATCCCCGAACGCGCTCACCGTCAACTCCGGAACTCCACCAGAGCGAGTGGCGGTAACGCAGTCGACGGGGGAGCCCGCGGCCGTTGATCCCGCGCCGTCTGGACCCCAGATAATTCGATCCAAGATACTTCGACTTCAGCTGAAGTTGCGTATCTTGGATCGAATTATCTGGGGTCCAGACGGCGCGGGATC